TATCATGATTATTTGTATTATTATTATAGACAGTGACCACGCAGGCAGGAGCATGCTGCTTCAGTCTTACCACTGGTCCCGCTAGTTTGCAGAGTTGAACCAGCTCATGTCGGTACTCCGGTGTGATGAAGCCCCGCAGGAGCTTCGGGCAGGAGCCCCATGCTTCACCGGATCCTCCTACATTCACCGTCAGGTTGCCTTCGAGTAAATCTTCCTCCACCTTTCCAGCGTACTTCACATGTGTCGGAGCAGTCGCGTCCATAACTTAAGAAAGCTACAGTGATGCCTACAGTCATCATGACCTCCAGTTATATGACAAGAGACAGTACTGTGGAGGGAGGAGTCAGGGGAGGGGTCAGGGGAGGGGCTGAGGAGCGCCCTCTGAGCCAATCGTGCTGCAGCGTCACTGAGAACACATGGTGCTGCGTTCACTGTCTTTAGACCCGTCGTGTGACCAACATGTGCAGTATACATGTCTGTGTAGTGTTATACCACACACACAACATGTTGACAGTTTACTTTACAAATAGATGCCATTTTACCACAAATGCCATTAGTCGGCCAATCGCATTTTATTTGTATAACACATATTCACAAATCTTAATCTGTCTCATGGTCTCAAGGTGCGACATCCTCTGTTCCTTAACCTCAACTAAAGTGAGGAAAAAACTACCTGTCCTCAGGACCACGTTTGGCCTGAGTGTGGTAACTGCAATAATGTCAGGGAACTTAAACTGCTTCCCTTGAAACAATCCTTTTTGCCATGCCTGAAGGTGCAAGATCCAAGTCAGGTGAGTAATTGAGCTTGTCCACACAATTTAGGAGATTGGAGAAAGAAAAACTAGAAATAAAAGAGGTTAACGATCTCTCCTTTCCATATTATGAATAATAACTAAGTATTAATACATTTAAGAATGACTGACTGCTTCTTTGATATGCTCTGAAGCCCCATTTATTCTAAAAAATATTTGACACACCTTGTTTCAGGAATTTAAATCTGGTGTGAAGTGAAGCCTTTGTGCATCACTGATCAACTGGATTCTGTTTATTTTGTACTGCCTTTTTGGTGGGGGTGTTTTCCATCTTGTGAAATAATTTTACCTTGTTACTGTTCATGTATGTGACTACTTATTTTCTTAACTGGTGTTATTTTTCATATCACACATTGCATGACGGCTATTTCAGAGGTCTGTTAAGCAACAACACAATCTTCAGACCAGTTCACGAAATAAAAAAATAAAAAAAATACAGGGCTTTTACTCTTTTAGCAAAATTGCTAAAGAGGAAGTGGATGTTGTTGCCATGACAAAGATTAGCACTTGTGACCTGTGAATGTTTGGGTTTGTTCGATCGGGTCAAAAAATCTAATAATTAAAATTAGGTGTCAATTATCTTTCCCTCATATGAGGTGGTTATAATCACACTGTTGTATGTTCAAGTGTAAACTGAGACTGACTTGCGATTGGTTGAGTTATGGGGTAATACAAAATGTTTTGCATGATTGAAACTAAGTTTTGAAGGCTTGCATAATTGTTTGATCTGGTGAAACAAATGTAAATGTCTGGATACTTTATTTTGTATTTTGAGTGTTTCTCCATCAAAACTGTAGCACTCTTAAGTGTTGTTATGGAAGTTTTCAGGAAGCTGGTGAAAGGAGAACTCAGCTGATGTCTTATGCAGAAGATTTTAATGAAGACTTGAAGCATCAAGGAGACCAGAAGGTGAAACAATATATAAACGCTAATAAAGTAACATGAGACATTGTCTCCCCCAAGTCTCAAGATGTCTCCCACAGCATCCCCATATATCTTCCTCTACTTGTATCACCCATACTAACAGCATATTAATGAAAGGCTAATTGCTGTCACTCTGTTACATGAAGGTGTTCACATCCTATTGGATAGTTAATTCTAAATATGCAACTAAACCACATTGTGACCTTATGTCTGCCACTGGTGTAATTTAGAAAATAGTTGAAGTCTGTGAGAGTTGAAGTTGGTTCCTCTCAATCTGGCTCATCTGAGTTAGATATGAAAGTCTCTAAGCGTAGACACTACAATGGACTGTTGGTTGGTCCTTTATCTATAACCTGACCTTGTGTGCTGTGAAAAGAGAGAGGCAGTATCTGTAGAAATAGATGGACACTATTTGCTTAATGGTGTACAAATATAACTAGCAGCATTGTCCCGCAACTCTTATCAAAAACAAAAAAGTTGGGATCCTGGAGGCAGGGGAATTTGTTCCTAACCTATAGTTTGTCCATAGCCTAATGTTATAGAATAATAGGTTTTGGATCCAAAGAAGACCTCTGAGTCAGTTCTCCTCTTATCACTTCGTCCCTGCACACTAAAAACATATAGCAGAGGTCTTAGTGTAGTCAAAGATTTAAGAGCAGCCCCAAGGCAATAGTAACGTTTGTCATTGCTTTATTTACTCCTTTAATAATCACGAGAAAAATGGTATCAAATGATATTAAATTTCATTCGTTAACAAGATTAGTTTACACATGAGACAACACTTAAATCAGTAGAATCACTCGAAAAAAACATTAGAAACACTTTTATTATTAATAAATTATATTTTGGAAAAACATAATCTAAAAAAAAGTTCTGAAAGTTTGAAATAATTAAAATATGCTTGTTATTGTTGTATGAGCTTGCACCATTACCTTTAAATGAAATAAATCATGAGAGGGCTGACAGTGGTAGATGCATCATAGGCAAACTACATTAAACAAACTGGTGTCAATTCAGCAGTGTAAATATTGGAATTATATTGGAATTGGAATTATCTACAACATGTTCCATGTCCATGAGATCTGTGATCACTTCATTCATCATTAGCTTACCAATTGTGTATTTATAATAACCTGTATGCACTCCCCGTAACGTCTGTGCATGCTCCTGATGAGTCGGTGGATGGTGTCCACTGGTATCTCCTTCCAGACATGGATCAGGGCATCAGTAAGCTCCTTGCAGTACTTGGTGGCACACTTATCATCTTGTTCTAGGATACTCGTGAGTTTTCGCTGATGTCATCACGTGCCCCTTGGGTGAGAGCATGGAGGTGAGAGCTTGTGTGTTGGAAGAAAAGTGTTTTGGGGACCCAAACACTTCACCCACCCCACCCCAACGGCATAGTGGTGAGTAGATAATGAGTGAATTACATTTTTTCAGTAAACTATCCCTTTAAGAGGATGACGGGCACTTCAGCAGAGGGTCTACAATGTCTCTGTTCCAAATCAAGTGTAGTATATGTTGTTTTGTTAATTTGTATATATATTCATTACTCTCTATAAAGCAAATCATAACAGATTTAGGATGACCTGTGTCACGGCTCAGGCCATTTCACGTGTGTTTCCTTATTGTCTGTGTTCTCCTCCCTGTCTCCTCCTTCTCTGTGTGAGTGTGGCTCCTGGTTAAAGTTCCACACCTGGTCTCGATCTCCAAGAACCCTACAAGCCCTAGAAGAACCCGGTCTCTTCTCCACTCATCGAGTTTTATTCATATGCTTCCTATGGAATTTCCTAACATTTTTTTTTCTCCTGTGCCTTAATATCACCACAGCCAGCCAGCCACCAGCCTCATCTGCCTCCCTCGGCTCAACATTAAAGACATCTTTCACACCAATCCCTCTCTGTGTCTGCTTTCTGGTCCAGTTCAAACAAAAACGTAACAACCAGAAATATATAAAATAATAATAGCCCATTTCCTTATACGAGTCAATGCATTAAAAAAAGATTATCAAGATTATCGCTAAAATAGAGTGACAATGAAAATATCTTATAATCCAAAAATGTACACAAATTTGATTCTTGTAATATTAAGATTAATTTGAAATGTTTAACATTTAAGCAGCAAATTGGAAGGGGTTTGATTTTCATGTACATCTAATGGGGTTAATAATAATAGTAATAATAATAATAATAACAACAATAATAATAAATTATAATAATGGGTGAATAAATCTTGGATAAAGATTTTTGGTTTTTGTTGGACTGTTCTGATTATGGACTCTTTTAGTTATTTGACTTTTACCTGTGTTTCCTTGTTTTCAGATTTGTGTTCATGCTGTGTTTCATACTGTGTTTCATTCTTTGTTGAATTTTGTGTTTAATTCTGTGTTTAGATTTGTGTTTCATTCTGTTTCCTGAAATTCCAGTCTCCCTTGTTGCTGTTCTTTTTACTTCCTGCGGAAGTTGAGGTTACAGTCTTTGTTCTTTATCAGGATGTCCCAGTGTTAAACGCCTCCAGTCTGTCCAGAAAGCTGCAGCACAAGTGCTGACAGGAACTGGGAGAGATCATATTACTCTTGTCTTAGCTTCTCTGCATTGGCTCTCTGTAAAATACAGAATAGCATAAACATAACCTCCTTGCCAGAGGTTAAAAAAAACACTTAACTTACTTATCCAGTCAGGTAAGAAAAATGAAAGAACTCTCTTTGGTAGACTGGTAAAGTGGGATTGAGCAACTGTCCTCACAGTGTTAAACACAACATTACCGATAATTAACTGAAAGACCTGTTAAGCGTAACTGAGGCTCATTAAACAATCACAGAGAAGTGCTTGTTAGTGAGTATGAAAATTATTCCCTTAGTTAATAAACAGCAGTGTGGATGACATTTTTAAATCAAGCCGACTAAGACACATGGACACTGTTCCTTCTATATTCCAAAGATAACAAGGTTAGGTGAATGTGAAACTCAAAATTGCTACTGTGTGTGACTGTGTCTGTCTACATGCAATCATAGACCGTCAGACAGTTTTAAGATCATACTCATACAGATTGAAAATATATATATTTATACAAAAAGGGGCTATGTAGCTAAATAGGGTTAGTACCAAATGGTGATTGGATATGTGGGCACAGAGAGGGGCTAGCACCCACAGTTCAGAGATGAAAATGTAATCTAGAGATCTACAGACTTACACAGTGAGAAAATGGAAATCACCACTTTGGAACTGCAATAAAGCATCTGTGATCAAGAGCTGTATCTTATCCCACTAGCCTAAGGGATGTGCCGCTCAGCAAGAACTCATGCAAAACCAAAGGGTTATGCCATGACCAGGTGTCCAGGTATCTAATACCTGGTGTCTTTAGCAACAATAAAGTAATTTTATAAGCCCAGGATTGGTTTGGCCCTAAAGGTTGAGTCCACTGCCTGCACTGATAACAAATATGACTGAGAGCAGAAACACTAAGTGTGTGGTGAGACTGATGGTAAATGTGTTTTTAGGATGGATTGGTAACATCTGCTTAATGATTTCAGCGTTGACAATTTTGGTGCATAATGTAATG